ACGGCCACAATCCTCGGCACACCCTTCAAACACAACCTGGGTTTTTTCACGAAACCCAAATAAACCGACCCGAATCCGCCTTGGCCGAGCATCGGCCCTCGAACCCACTCGCAGCCACTTAGTGAAACTGTCAAGTAATGATCTGCATGATCTGCAAAATCGTCTGCAACTATTATCTCATCATGGGTTGCTCTTTTTCTCTTGAGACCCGCCATTGCTTTTGTACACTTTGTTCAAAAGTGAAGAACAAAGCTTTTTCCGAAGATACAAAGATTCTGGGTTGTAGAAGAAGAGCAGAACTTGTGGGCTAACAAAAACAAAGGACACGACGGAGAACAAGAGCAGAACTTGTGGGTTGTAGAAGAAGCAGGGGAAGCAGATGGCAGATCGATTAATGAACGAACAAGTCCATGATGAAGAAGAGAGTTGGAATTGAAAGAATAGATTATTATAAATAAACCCAATTCTAGCCATGTATTTAAAAAAAAACCCACACACTATTTAAACATAGAAACACACCCAAAATCAACACCAAAATCAATAATTGTATATTTTTTGGGTGTGTTTATAAATGGGTTTTGAGTGTGTGTAATGATGGGTTTTGGGTGTGTTTATAAAGTGTTTTGGGTGTTGGGTTTTTTTATAATTTCAACCCCCATTTTGGGTGTTTTAGTGAAACCCCCTTGAAAGAAACCCTTTAGGCTTTACGAATGATCTGGGTATTCTTGACGTTGTGGGGTTTTTCGAAATCCAAGTTTCCCTTTCCTAGTTGCGTTGGGAAATTGGGTATATATAACTTTCCAACGGTCATTTGTTTCTTTTACTTTCGCCGCGGCCATTTATTGCGGTCTAATTAATAATCGAATAAAATATATTATTTTTCTCTTTTTTGAAGTCAAATTTGAAATAGCTACGTAAATCTGAAGCCACTCTCATCAGTATTACAGCTGTGAACTTATTTGTAATTTAAATCTTTTTAGATTTTGTCGTTATTGTATTTATGAACTTAAAACCTAAACATTATCCATTTTATCTAAAAATTGTTTTTAATTCGTTTTAAAAAAAATTGGACTATTAGGAAACTCTCTTTTATCCCTAATTAAACTTTAGAATTAGGGGTGTAAGTCAGATTGGAAAATTCAATTCTAACCGATTTTGATCTGAATATTTCCAAAAAAAATCCGACTTTGATAAATAAGATATATGAAAATACCGAATCTGATATTTCCGTTAAATGAGACCCACACCATTCTCGAACAAGAAAGCTTGAGGCTTTGCAAGCACAGGCGAAAAGTAAAAACCAATTTCCAATTTGAACCATTTTCAACTCACACAACCTAAACCATGAACCCGCCAAATGAAGACGACATGTCGTGCGATATTTGATTAAGCACTGGTCCATTAAAAATGAGACACATGGAAGGTAGCCAAGCTGTTCGATTCTTCATCCACTCAAATTTTTCTTAGCTTTCCGATTTCTATGACATGATGGTAATAACTGATGGGCATGAGGACAGGCACCATATATTTTTTTTTATTTGCAGATAATAATTTCCTATTGAACTGAAAACTGATGTGGTATAGAACAATTGTGTCAGGCTTATAATTGTACCCTCTTTTGAAAAAAGAAAAATACAAGACTGAAAATAATAGATAAGCCTCCATCGAAAATTCTACAGTGGACCTGGTGCATGGATTCGCCAGATCCTATTGAACGTTAGATTTCACTAAAATTTCATGGGCAAATCTACACCATTGAATGGGATAACTTGAAAACCTGCTAAGTAGGTTAAAAGAAAATTCTCAACCCGTCAAAACCTATGAAAATTCTACAGTGAACCTGGTGCATGGATGCACTAAGTCCTATTCACCGTTTAGGATTTAGGGTTTAGGGATGCCCAAATTTGAAATGGCTTCGTAAATCTGAAGCTACTCTAATCAATAAGTATTACAAGCTGTAAACTTATAGCACCAATACAATGCATTTTTGTTTCTATTTTATTTGTAACTAGCCCCTTGGCAATTGGTTTTTCTTTTTTCTTTTTTTTTCTTTTTAGAATTAAGAAAAGATAACATGGGTAGTTATGTTCCATAAAAGTAGAATTTATTATCTAATTTTGTTTTTAATTTTAATTTTTTTAATATGAAAAAAAATGTGAATTTACCATATTATCCTCATTTAATTAATAATTTCAATTCTAAATGTTTTAATTAATCAAGGGCATTTTTTGGTATTTTGAATGTTTCACCATTCTCTGCCTTTTGCTTTATATATATAGATTTAAATCATTTTAGAAATAAAGTGTTTTTTTTTTTGTCGCTACTCCCTTTAAGTCGTTTTTTCTCTTTTTCAGCTTTGCCTAATGGACTGAAAATCAGTGACATTGACCATCTTTATTAACTTAAAACCTTATCTTTATCCATTTTATCTAAAAATTGTTAATCCAGCTTTACTTTCTAACCCGTAAATAAATAAAAAATTGAGTTAATTTCAATTTATTATCTTGAATTTTTAACTAAATTGTTTGGTAATAACGGTCTTTTCAATTTGAACACTTGTACGTTTCAAAATTGTGATAATATAATTCTGTCATTAGACTGATTATCAAGATAAGAATTAATTGTGATAATATAATTGTGTGTGTGTGTTCCTTTTATGTCCTTAAACTTGGGCTTCATTGATTTCTCATCCAAAACTATTTGAATGAAGAAAGCTGTCCCCTTCATGAGACTGGAATTGACCATGGCCTGCCATGACAATTGCGATGGCTTTTTCCCTGTTCTGTTTTAGGTTTCAAAATCTAAGAGAAACCCTGATGGCACTACTACAAAAAAGGCAAAAGACGACGGGAATTCACCGTCGTGTATCGGGTTTTCAAACCGTCGTAAAATCGAGCGACATCTTTTGCAAAGTAAAACCACGACGGGAAATCACCGTCGTTGTTATAACTAACAACGTCATTAACAAAAAACAACCGACGTCTGTATACTGATAAATGAACCAAAAAATTGTCGTGGAGAAGAATAGACGACCTATTTTATACAAAATCCGTCGTGTAAAAAAATATAATACGTCTTTAAATAAATAAAATATGACGTTATTAAAACATACGACATCCAATATATTTATATAACCGTCGTGAATTAGTTTTTCCACTTCGTTTTTTCCATTAATATTGACGTGGAAATAGCGGTTAGGGTAAATCACCGTCGTTGTTATAACAAACAACGTCATTAACAAAAAAAAAACCGACGTTTGTATACTGAAAAATGAGCCAAAAAATTGTCAAGGATAAGAATAGACGACATATTTTATACAAACTCCGTCGTGTAAATAATACAATACGTATTTAAATAAATAAAATATGACGTTATTAATACATACTACGTCCAATATATTTATATAACCGTCGTGAAATAATTTTTCCACTTCGTTTTTTCCATTAATATTGACGTGGAAATAGCGGTTAGGGTAAATCACCGTCGTTGTTATAACAAACAACGTCATTAACAAAAAAAAAACCGACGTTTGTATACTGAAAAATGAGCCAAAAAATTGTAAATGATAAGAATAGAAGACCTATTTTATACAAACACAGTTGTGTAAATAAATACACTACGTCTTTAAATAAATAAAATACGACGTTATTAATATATACTACGTCTCATATATTTACATAATCGACGTGGAAAATATGTTAGGCTCATGACTTACGACATATTTATTTCTATAAACGACGTAGTATTTAATATACAACGTCGTGATCATGTAAAAGACAACCGTGTTTCTCTATTTATACGTCGTCTTTAGCAAAATAATAGTCGTCTAATCCATCTAAGACGTCGTCTTTTGTAACATTCAGGTTCGATATCTGGCCTTTTAGACGTCGGTATTATGGTACTGGAGTCGTGTTATTTGTAATTACATGTCGGCTCTTTATGCTTCTCCGACGTGATATCGTTAATAACTGTTTCACAATAACGTCTTTCTTCAATTTTAGTTCGCTTTTAGACGTCGGTAAATTCAATGCCATCGTTGAATGCTCCAAAACGTCGTTTTTTTTTGACAATTTTATGAAAACAGACGTCTGTTTTTCACAGTTTTATGAGGACCGTCGTTTTATAATACTGAACCAGTATTTTATGTACTGATTGTTTTGTGGCCAAAACCTGCATAATGAAAGTGAAGAAAACACATTACAATTTATTACAAAATTAATGTCATACAGTAGTGCTGTTTAGGGCATAAGTAATTTCATAAATTACAAGAGCATCATTCAATCCATATATCTTCACACCTATCTCGAATATTTTGACTCCCAAACTCACCTACTAGTTCATCAAATGTGTCAACATTTGGCATCCCTCTCACCCACTAGTTCATCAAATGTGTCAACATTTGGCATCCCTCTAGTAAATGGCTCACACTCAATTCTCACATCACCTAAGACATCATCACCAATAACATCATTATATTCTCTATTAGGCGCTGATAACACTACCGACCAACCATGATGCATCGGGTCGTCAACAAAAAATACTTGTTTGACTTGAGAAGCCAAAACAAATTGGTCATTCCTATGTCCAATTTTACTCAAATCTACAAGGGTAAATCCAAGTTCGTCGACTA